GTGTTGGAAACAATTACTATATATATAAGTGTACAATTAATAGAAAAGAATTTGAGAAATGATCAAAACTTATTGATTTGATGGGTTGAAAATGACGAACAAAATTACACAACACCAATTTTGTTTATTAGAAAAATCTCAAAAAATTCCAGAATTATATTAATTAGGTAAAAATGAAAGTAGTCAATAAACAAAGCCTTCATTAATAAAACAGCAAACTAGAAATTGCTAAAATTCTGAACTTAGAGCAAGTTTTAACGCAATACGTTCTTTATGTCGATGAGATCAAAATATATCGCCAGATAACAAAGATTGACGAAAAACACGAAAATTGATGAAAATTATGACTTAGCATAATTATATATATAATTGTATTTACCATATTTAAGTTGATTACATCTACTATATTTAGATTGAATTATTCCTATATAATGTAAGAAATTTCAATGGGAAAGTCATTTAATTAGAAGTTTGTCATCATGATATAAAAGTCTGATATGCTTTTACTGAATCCTTAGTTTTCTTTGCTCATAACTCAACCTCTTATGTGTGGGTTTCTTGTGGTTGTCCATAGTTGACATAATTTTTTTGTCAACTTGTGACTCTTTGGTGCATTGAGAATGTTTATCTTTGAGTTTTTGTAGGGTGTTTGATAGAATTTTTTCCAACTATAGCATCTTGGCCAATAATATATTGCTAGTTTTTTAGCCGACGATTAGTCGTTAGAGCTTTTGTTAGAACACGAATTATATGTCCGATTGAGTTCTCCCGACTGATAGAGCTCATTGTATGTGGTCGGCACACTTTGTGAATTTATTTTGGAAATACTTCTTGGGGTGTGAGCTCTCTGGATTAGCTTTGAAGTATTCTTAGAGTTGTTCTTGACTCGTTTCTGCACTATTTGTTATTATCAGGTCTCTAATCGTCATTATTTTTCGTAGATGGTTGTTGCGATTTGGGTCTCTTTTTTGTTGGCATGAGCATTGTTAACGGCGTCACTTCATGATTGCAGCATCAATTTGAGGGGATGTCAGTGAGATCAAAAGAGATCGCCAACAAAGATAACATATATTGACGAAAATCGTGAAAATTGACGAATATTAGGACTTAACATAATTATGTATATAATTATATTTACCATATTTAGGTTGATTACGATAACTATATTTAGAGTGATATTATTTCTATATAAGGCAAGAAATTTCGGTGGAAAAATCATTCAATCAAAAGTTTGTCACTTTAACTTTCTAAATTTTTATTGCGTCCAAAAAATTGATTTTGATTATTTGATTTGTTCAATTGAAGTTTTGAATTGCTGCTATGTTGTAATTTACACGTGGACAGTCCGTGAAAAAACTTGGGCCATGTTTGACCAATGTTGTCAAACAAAATGTTAAAACTAGAGTTTTTAATCTAATTCTAAGAATATTATATTTATAAAACTATTGGCGCGTTTATTTCGTTGGTTGAATTAACTGATAATCACATAGGTTAGAGCTGACCGTGAGAATACGTGCTTAGGATCAAAAGTCAAAACACGATCAACGTGGAAAGCACATAGATTGTCGGATTTTAATTTGTCAAGCTAAAATAAATATATATAAATTTATCATTTGTCAAGTTAGCTTTACCTAACTGCATGAATCCGGATTCTATTTTTTAGAGTCTTCATATAGACTTCTCGCGGATAATACATCATGATGGGAATTGATAGATAAATTTTTCGAAACAAACAAAAAGGAAACGAAAAATGAAACGAAAATTAGAATTAGAACTTTGCTGCACATCTTTTGCTTATTCAGTAGATTAAATTTCGTTAACATGTTCTCAAATGTCAGTTTTAACATTTTACCAAGTTTATTTGAGTTGGGGACACTGCAAATGCAGGTTAAACATCTTTTTTCTTGTTTGTTTACTGGGGACTATTGAAGGAGCCTTGTTCCTACTTGGATTAATTGTTAAACTTATTTAGTGCTTGTCTTGTAAAGATTAAAATTCAATTAAAATTAAAAATATACCCGTTATTGGGTCACACTCGTTTAATAAAAGTCAACAATAATGACTAGTTTTTCAATTTTAATCTGATTATAATCTTTACCGAACACGCCCTTAATCAAAAAATATAGTCTAGGGCGATACGCTTCCCCCATGAAAATCACGACCTTGTGCTCCTAGGTTGGGGGTGAGTTGAGGTAGGGATATAAAGCGGGTTGAGTTGACCTCGCCTGGCTCACTTAGGCAGATTTTAGACGAATTCGCGTATTGGACATATCTAAACACAACTTTCACTTCGAGCCTCGAGGTACCAAAAGTTCGACTTTTTGTGCAATATTCATTTTTTATATGATAACAATGCGTAAGACTAAACAACTAATAAATTTTGTCGTGCACCCTAGATAAAATATGAAATTATGGGACTCAGCCTTGAGGATCATTTACCTTGAGCTACCTACACGGCACACTATAGAAACTCCATCATCACATGAAGTACAATCTATCCTAGTCATGACAGGAATCTCATGGACCCTAGACTCTATGAGAGTAAGTTGTAAGCCATAGGCAATCTCGCCCAACTTGTAATCCTCTAATCACCAATAGTATCAACAATCCTCAATGATAACCTAACATCAAGAATTTGATGGATCCCATGCTCTTACAAGAGCAAAGAGACACTAAAAGCTTGTTTGGGAAATGTTTATAAATCATTCAAATTACAGATAGATAAAAATGAACGATGAATAAATGTGTAAAATTTGTGGATCCCATCAAAATATGTGGATAAAAAGTTGATTGTTTATAAACACGAGCCAAACATATTATAAATCATTGTCAACGGCATTTTGGCCAACTGTAATCAACCAACTTACCAAATACGATCCACTAAGTACTCATACACAATTGCCCTATTCAATTCACTTCGTTATGGCTAAAAATGTCTAAATGGTGATAGTCATTTTGTTGAATAAATAAGACATTATACTTTTATATAAAGTTTGTAATTTGTCTATGGTAAATTGAATTTTGAAAAAAAATAGAGGCAAACATAAGCTAAAATAAATATATATAAATTTATCATTTGTCAAGCTAACTTTACCTAATTGTATGGATCGGGATTCTATTTTTTAGAGTTTACTCATATGGACTTCTCGTGTATAATACATCATGATTGGAAAAGAATCAAGAGGAAAAAAGATGAATTAGAATTGACAGATAAATTTTTCGAAACAAACAAAAAGGAAACGAAAAATGAAACGTAAATTATGGATCAACTAATTTTTTCGAAATATTCGATATCTTTCTATATATAAAAAGTGCATATTTGACGGAATTTGTTGGTTTAAC